GGGCAAAGCCGACTGCTGGCAGGCCCACCACCAGGCCATGGGGGTATGATACGTCGGGCCACGCCAGCAATATCACCAACAGGCCCAGCAATCCAATGTCCCTTTGTGCTGTCACTGCTTGGAGGGCTGGTGCCTGGAATTGCCTCAACTGATCACCCACTCGCTTCCATCTCTGCTTCAGCTCCTTGACGGCCCCGATGGCGCCACGTCGCATCTGGCGCAGGTCCCCCCTGCGTGCCGCCATGACTGAAGCCACAAACTGCAAATCCTCATCCATCACTGCTTCTTGCTCCAGTGGAGTCGGCGTCATCTTCATAGCCAAGGCCGCAGCGAAGTGGTCGTCCGGATTGGGCACACCGGAGATCAGCGGGGGCAAGGCTGCCTTGTGGCTCAACGCGCCCGCTTGCTGCCCCTCAGCTGTGCGCGACCGGATGCGGACCCCCGCCGGGGCCGTGGCAGGGCCCAGGGGACCATCCCAATCCAGCTGCTGCCCGTGCCGCCACTCCGCATAGTCGATGAATGGAGACTGGTTGATGAGGTGCTGAATCATGGGGAAGCGGAAGCCCTTGAACCAGGGTTCAGGAAAGAGGCCCAAGAAGCAGTTCACCACTGCCTCTTGCGTCCAACGCCTCCACGGCACCGCTCTGGCATCCACTCCTGGCAAAACGCCCCATGCCAGCAGAACTCCTCGTCTCGGCACTCGTCGGTTCTTCCGTCGTGCTGGCTGTGCGGCCGACTGCTGGACACACTCCTCAAAAACCAAGCCGGCCAAAATGTCAGCCTCGCACACCTCCTCGAAGCTGCAATCACAGGCCAGCCTCTTGCCCATCAGCTCTGGCAACCGTTCATTCAGGCCTGACTGGTGGACATACTGCACAAAGCGTGGGATCCACTCGTCCCACGAGCAATCGTGTCCCGGCACCCACGGGCATTTCCAGTCGGACGTAGAGACTCGATGGCTGTGATGCCCTCGTCCAACGTAAACCACGTCCTCGGGTAGGGTACCATCTTCGTACAGCACTTCGAGGATCACCACTCGCCGAGGCACCGTGGCACCCGAGGCCAGCGGGGGTGGCTTGAGCCCGAGGCTCACCGCCATCGGTGCCATGGCCCATTCGCGTAGAGCCCGTCCATCGAATTCCAACCAGTGCTCCCGGCGACCTACCGTCTCGATCGCTGGCATCCGCGGGACCGTCAGGCGTGCCTTGCCGACCCGGGCCGCCCACCACGAAGCCGCCACCGCGATGCTGAATGCCAGCGCTGCCGTGTACTCCGCCTCGGCCTTAGACGGGTACCACCTGCCATCGGAACTCTCCTGTGGTTCCCACTCTCGGGGGTGGTGAGTATGGTGGCACGTCAAAGGCGGCCACTCCTCGATCTCCTGGACGTTGTGTCTGAGGCACTGGAGTTTGCTCCGGGCCCCCGCAAACACGCATGCGGAATATTGCGTGTCTTTCCACAGCCCGGACTCTGCTCCTGGGGGAGGTACCAGTGCAAGCTCCTCCATGGGTTCTCCCGCACGGAGGCCCCCCCTCCTTCGGCGTGCTTCTGGAGCTGTGTGAGCATCCAGCCGCATGCTGCGTTGTCCGTGTCCACCCGAGCCTGGTCCTTGACTGACAGCCCTGGTAACCCCAGGGGCTGGTCTGCTGACCGGAGGGGCTGGGGTGCTAGTCGTCCATCGTTGAACTTCCGCGGAATCTCCCTTGCCCGCGACTTGGTGGAGCAGTCCATCGCGGCCGCAATGAAGTCTCCTCGAGCTGGCCTGCCAATGACTTTTGCCTCAGGGGGTTAGACAGGTCATGGGCAGGGTCAAGGAGCCAGTCCACGGAGACGGTGCGCCATCCACACCACAGGAAGGCTTTAGTCAACGGGAGGTTCGGACCACACATGAGGTCAGCCATCAAAGGTGGCTCGCCACCAGGCAGCGCTAGCGCGACAGGTGGACGCTCCGTGGTTGCTGCCCCCACAGACGCGCTCCCCCCTGGTCACAAGGCCAGTTTGCGTCCGGGCAAGGACGATACTTTCTTGCTGGAGCAGTCGCAGAAGGACGCTGATCGTGGGTTTTGCACGGCCCCGATGTCCCTGTCCGAGCTGCAGCGGGAGCTCAGAGGGCAGGAGTTCCGACTCATACCCAGGTGTGTCATCACACAGTCCTCAGGCAAACAGCGAGTGATCGACAACGCAGATACAGGGGGTCAATCCCTCCGTTCCTCGGACGCCAATAAATTTGTCCTCTGTTCACCGTTGCGACCAGCCCAGCACATTGCAGCGGTGATGCAACGCATGGATGAGAGCCAACTTCGCTCGGCCCGCGAGGGTGACTCGTGGGAATCCGGAGGGGAGGATTGGCCAGATGCCTATCGCCACTCTCCTATGAGCAGTGAGGAGGCCAGGGGCTGTATCGTTTGTTTTTGGCATCAGGGCTGGGGGGCGCCTGCATTTCAGCGGTACGCAGGGCTGCTCTTTGGCCTGCCATTGGCCGTGACCAGTTTCAACCGATACTCTAGGCTGGCGGAAGCGCTGGCCAGACGACTGCTGGTCCTTCTGGTTTCGTTCTACTTCGATGACGCCCACATCACGGATTGGCGGTCGGCCGGTGGCTCCGGCCAGTGGGCACTGGAAGAGCTGAACCGGCTGCTGGGCACGCCGTTCTCCGAGGACAAGAAGCAGCCTATGGCAGCCCAAGGACTCTTTCTGGGGCTTGACCATGACCTATCTCAGGCACTGCACGACGGCGTGGTGCACGAGAAGATGTGCGGGATGATCCAGAAGGTCAGGACCGAGGAGAGACTCGCACCTGGCCTCGCGGCCAAGATCTACGGCCTGGCTAACTTCTTGGAGATGGCAGTCTATGGCCGCGTGGGATGCGGAGGATTGGGCTCCATCAAGACGCGGCAGGCTGAGAGATCATCTGAGCTGACTGAGCCTATCAAGGCGAGCCTTGAGTTGCTAGAAGCAGTTTTTGCTACCCAACCACGGCGAGTGCTTCAGGTTTTACCAGTGCCTTTGTGATAGCTTCGGATGCGGCTCTTGAGAGCCCACGTCAGGGGACGGGAGGTTTCCTGATGGTGTGGGCCGACGGCTTCGCCGAGCGACGGGAAGCTTTTGTAGCCGACATCCCACTTGAGCTTTACCAGTTGTGGACTCCGGGGGACCGGAAGATTGCTCAATTGGAGCTGTCCATGGTGTTGTACGCCCTCCTCTGCCGACCGGATACATTCCGTAATCGGCGGGGAGTGTGGTACATCGATAACACCGCAGCCCTGATGTGTTTAATCCGTGGTAGATCCAGGGAGCCCGATCTGGAACGAATGTCCCACGTGATACACACAGTTTTGTTTGGGCTGAAAGTTTGGATGTATTGGGAGTGGATCCCTTCCAAATCCAACTGGTCGGATGCGATTTCTCGGTTAGGATGGCAGGACCCATGGGCCCGCCAGAATGATTTCTCAATGTCTACTGCTTTCTGTTTCCCCATCATGTGGAAGCTGCCATTTCGTGCCGTGCTCGCGGTGACGAGCTTTCTGTAGTGCTTTGGGAGTTGATGAAGTGCATTGGGGAACTTTTAAGGATGTTAGAGGCATCCCAACCGGAGTTGACCGGTGGCCCCCTCTAAGCACAGTCCATGCAGGAGATGCATGGAAATCCAAAGCATAATCCCTCAGGCGATGAGGGTTGTTACAGGCACGGGCAGTGCAGACTATGAATGATGAGAAGGGAAAAAGAATTGGGGTGCGTCGCAGCCTAGCAGTAGGAACGATACGTGACACATTGATGTATGCCATGTTTAGAGCTTGGCAGGCATTGGGTGAACATGTATCATCAATTGTTATGGGTCTGCCATTTTGGATCAAGACTGAGCCAAATTGGCAGACACCTTTTTGGTTTTCCCCACCCAACCCACCCTAGTTGTCTGGCCTGGCGTCCAGTAGCCGACAACTTTGAAGGTCCCGATGGGACTGGGGTTTGCGCAAGGGCGCACTGTGCTGTTTCGAGGGGAGGGGAACTTTTAAGGATGTTAGAGGCATCCCAACCGGAGTTGACCGGTGGCCCCCTCTAAGCACAGTCCATGCAGGAGATGCATGGAAATCCAAAGCATTATCCCTCAGGCGATGAGGGTTGTTACAGGCACGGGCAGTGCAGACTATGAATGATGAGAAGGGAAAAAGAATTGGGGTGCGTCGCAGCCTAGCAGTAGGAACGATACGTGACACATTGATGAATAATAGCAATAATTATAATAATTATAATAACAATAATAAGAGCAATAATAATAGACATAAGACATATAACAATGATAATAATAATAACAATAGCAACAATAATAATAATAACAATAGCAACAATAATAATAATAATTATAATAATAATACTAATAATAATAACAATAATAATCATCATAATAATAATAATTAATAATAATAATAATAATAATAATAACAATAATAATCATAATAATAATAATTAATAATAATAATAATAATAATAATAATAATAATAATAATAAACACCAACGGGTAACTGTCCTTTTTGGTCGTTTGGTCAAAAATAGATGGGTTCCACTGGTTTAGATGGGCCTTATGCCATCCATGTACCAAAGACACCCATCTATTCTTAACCAACCGGCCACCTAAGTCACAAAACGTTTTTTTTCTCCCCGGATTCACCAATTTCTTCCCCCCCCCCGGCTTCATGAAACCACCCCTGTGTACTCATTTTGCTCATTTGCAGCCTGTCATGGCTCTTTCGTAACAGAAAAGGGCGTCACTCCCAGCCGCAAAATCATGCAGACGCAGGCAGCAATCGCGCTGGGGGTGCTCACCAACCGGCCACCTAGGTCCCAATTTGCTTTTTTTCCAGATGAACCTTTTTAACCAAATGGCCGCCTATCTTTTTTTTTGTCCTTCAGATGAACCAATTTGGCATGAAGCTGGAAGAAAAACAGGGCCCCGACTCGCCGACTCCTCCCAGCTTCGGGGGGAACCCCCCCTGCGGCTCAGGACAAGTCCAGGATCCGCTTCTCCGGCGAAGACGGGGAGGTGGATCTGCCGTTCAACGGCGCCGTGGTGGCCACCGGCAGCCGCGCCAATCGCCTGCCCATGGTGCCAGCCAGCCTGCCAGGCCGGGATCGGTCTGCCGGGGCAAAAACAACACGAGGAAGAAGTAATAAGGTATATCATATGTATATATATATAACATATATATATATATACAGTTACATAGATATATTCAATATTTTGTTGAGATGGGAGCAACTTGCAACTTGCTGACCTGATGTGTGTTGCCTGGGAGTGTCGGCGCGCTGCTGTAGCTTTTCCTGATGCAGGGTACTACTGTTACAGCCGAGGTGTCAACTGCCTGCACAAGCACTTGTATTCTAACCCTCCTCCTCAGCTTATGATTGGTGAGTGCTATATGCACGAACTTTTTGTTCCGAGAGCACGGTGTATCCGGCTCACATATTCCTATGTCCATTTGCGATACCTGTATATTCTTTCAATCTTTACTGTGGGCACGGGGTCAACCATTCACAGATTTGACTTAATGTATTCAATGATGGTGCGGCATTTATTTGTGGCGTCATCCAGTCTTTCTTCCAAGCAGTCAAACGAAATCAATTTTGCCGGAGTATAGATGGTAGTTATAGTTTGTATTCCTACAATTGAGGACATATGTTCATTGTGATAAATATGTGTGCACTACATGCGCGTACGCTGTGTTTCTGCACACATTGTGTGTGCAAACGCGCACACACACCCACACACCCACATACATGTATGTACAAACACATGAATCGAGGATAATTGATATATGATCCCAATAGACAATAGTCTATCCCGCTAATCCCGTTCAACGCAAGGGATATCCTCGAATCAATTGTGGTTTCACGGCTGATGTTGTCTCTCAGCATACTCAGTGCTAGTTGGCACCATGAACCGGCAACAGCCTGTACACAGGCGAGACTTGAACTGGCAGGTGTAAGCATGTTAATCAAAACATGCTGTATGTCGCATGACTATTCACCCCCCCAGTGGTGCTGATCAAAATAGTCAATTTGTCGATGCGAATCACGACCGACTGCGCATGCTTTTGCGTAGACATCTACACGAGACTGCTTGAGCCGCGATAGCGAGAATGGCAGATACACATGGCCATGTCTCCTGAAACAGTGGCCTTTTTCTTTTTTTACTTCACATTTTTTTAAAACAGTTTTGTTGCGCATTTCGGTGCGCTTCAACTCCAAAAGACACATTAGTCCTTCTTTGGGAAACAAGCATGTGAGAACTCGCAGGTGGCCAAGCATTTCGCTTCCAGCATACAGGTTTCGGGGCACCTTGCAGATCCAAACAGTCTGCCTGGCTTCGCAAGCTGCTAGGAGTGTACGATTCAGACACGCTGTCCGAGATCGACTACATCCCAAAGAAGATGGTGGTGCAGGGCGGAGGCATTATAGGCAGGCGCTTTCTGAGGGAAGACAAAAACAAATCCTTTTGCTTTCTTGCTTTTGCTTTCTTTTGCTTTCTTTTGCTTGCTTTTGCTTGCTTTTGCTTGCTTTTGCTTGCTTTCTTTTGGTTGCTTTTTGCTTGCTTTTGCTTGCTTGCTTTTTGCGTGCTTTTGCTTGCTTGCTTTTTGCTTGCTTTTTGCTTGCTTTTTGCGTGCTTTTGCTTGCTTTCTTTTGGTTGCTTTTTGCTTGCTTTTGTTTGCTTGCTTTTTGCTTGCTTTTTGCTTGCTTTTTGCTTGCTTTTTGCTTGCTTTTTGCGTGCTTTTGCTTGCTTGCTTTTTGCTTGCTTTTTGCGTGCTTTTTGCGTGCTTTTGCTTGCTTGCTTTTTGCTTGCTTTTTGCTTGCTTTTGCTTGCTTGCTGGCTGGCTGGCTGGCTTGCGCGCTGCTCGCTCGCTCGCTTTGGTGCTGTGCATCAGGGTTCATCCATCCCAACTGTTGCAGAATTCTGTCCGACAGTTTGGGTACTATTGTTTTCCTTTTGCACGCCAAAGACTTGTGACAGGGTCGAATGTGACCGTGAATGGCTCGTATACTCTGACTGGCTTCCTTGCTTGTTTTGTTTGCAGGCTTGGAGTATGCCAACATCTTTGCCAAGATGGGCACCAAGGCTCGGGGTCGAGTGCACGGATGGTGTGCCATAGCTGATTGAACAAAGGACTTCCCATCGCCGGAGCCAATTAGGTGTCTGGGGTTTTTTGGTTCCCTCAAGGTTGTCGTGGTGGAGTTCATGGACAAGGCAGGAACAAAGAGGGGCGCCGGGGGGGGGGGGGGGAAGTCTTTTTTTCTTTGGAGAGGCGGCTGTGATTGCGTTTTAAACATCAGGGCAAATTCCTCCAAATTGTCGGTTGTTCTGTTTGGCTGTCTTTGCCACGGTGGACCATTTGGAAGCGCCCCAATGGACGAAGGCCAAGAGACGGCGGATTGGCGCGTGTGTCTTTGCTGGACCGCTCAATTGTTCAACTTGCGGGAGAAGCTTATCGCTGGAGGGCGAGGAACGCTCTCCGAACATATGGGTTTGACGTTTTTCCATTGAAGAGCCACTATGGCACATGTGGGACCGCTGGGGCCGTTGGCGACAGGCGATCCCCCCCGGCTCCACTACCTCAAACAAAGCTTTTTGGAGGCCAGCGCTTGAGTCAACACCCGCTTCGCCATGCATTTCTCTACCCAAATCACGGTACTGCGCGTGTTTGGGCATGGTTGCAAAGTCGAGTACACCTTCCGGAAATCCGATGCTTTCACTTTGCCTCCAAGACATGGGAGCTGCAAAAATCGGTGGTTTCCTTTGCCCCCAAGGGCGGTTTGCCCCCCGTTTTCGATGGACGGGAGTGCCATCGATTGAGGGCTGTTGGTTTCCCTGCCGTTGAAAAGACAAATGGCTGTGGGTCTAAACCAATGGTGCCATTTTGGGGTAGGTGAATTCACCACCCATTTTACAACCTATTTTAGTGGGGATTGGGATGTTCACTGGGGGTACGATTTGGCTTGTGACCCATGGCCAAATGGCTTGGGTTTTGTTGGCCCCCCGGGCTCCATCAGGTGCTGCAGATGTTGGACGTGGACCTCAAGGACGCGCTGCTCTCCGAGCTGGCGGCGAACAAGGCGAGAGCAAAAAGGTGGGTAGCGGTGATGCTTTTGGAGAACCCTGGTGTTCAAATGGGATTGATGAAATGAAAACCCCTCAGGAGTTTTTTTTTAGAGTCCCGCCAGTCTTTAGATGTCCTTCTGCTTTTGAAGATGTTTCATGTTCTCTGTTTTCTGAAGTGAGGTTAGTCGACACAGTTGTGCATTTGGGGCCTTGCACATGGCTTTTGGGCGAGTTTGTCAACCCAAAGTCACAAGTCAGGGGCTGTAACCTGCGTGGCTCACATGGAAAACGTCTCAAGATAGGAGTTGGACTCCCAAAATGGGCTTCCCGTTGTTTCTCTCTGTAAACCCACCAAGAGGGTGTCCCCCCAAAAAGACGCAGGCTCAAGGTTCGGCCCACATTTTTCTTTGGCCGGTGGAAGCGTTGGCGCCATGAGCGCAGACTTGATCCTGGAGAGTGCTGCGACGGCCTTCGCGCTGTTCTTTATGACCTCTCCATTAACGCAGACGATCGACGTCTGGGGCACCCCTGCGAAACTTGGTGGCTCCCAGCCATTCGGTTCCTCCTTCGCTTTTTCGCCTTTTCGTGTTTAGTTGGAGTTTCCATTTGGGTGTGGCTCAAAATTTAAGAGCTAGGGTTACGCAGGTTTTAGTCTTTGGTTCCATTTATCAAGGTGCCATTTTGGTACATGTATTTGAGCCACAGCCATTTAACCCACTTTTAGTGTTAGTCAAGCTTTTCGCCGGGGATCGGACTCCCGGACGTCTGGGTAGCTGAGGAAAGTGAAGTACGTGAGCCCGGTGAACTTGCTGTGCTTCTACCTGAACTGTGTGACTCAGGTGGCCTATGGCCTGTGGATGCCGGTGCCGGCCGTGGTGCCCTGCAACTGCTATGGCGTGGCCGTCTCCGTGGCCAGCACCGCCGGGTGTTGGTGGTTTGCCCGCCAGGAGGGTGTGTCTGTTTTCTTTTTTGGGACGGTTGAAATGGGATGCAGCCCGTTTTCCTCGTGGTTTTCCATGTTTTTCCTCGTGGCTTTCCTTTGAAGCCACGGAGAAAGTCAATCAACGCCACGCCCAGGAGGAGGCTCCCAACTGGGATCGGAAGGCTGCAATCTTCACCCTGGTAGCCGTGCTCGCCTCGGCGCTCATTGTGGCCGACGCGGCCCTCAGGGAAGGCGGTGCCGCGCAGGTGGGCTTCTTGGGGATGTTCGTGAGCATCATGCTCTACGCGGCTCCCCTGACCAGCATGCAGGAGGTCATCCGCACCAAGTCCTCAGAGACCCTGCCCGTGATGCAGAGCGCCATGGGCTTCTGCAATTGCTCCTGCTGGCTGGCCATTGGGCTTCGCAGCGGCTCCATGCCGGTGTGGTGTCCAAATGTCATCGGCGTCCTCCTCACCTTCTCGCAGCTTTGCTTGATCCTGAAGTATCCGGCTGTCAGACTGGACAAGGTGATCGAAGAGAATGTTGACTACATTCCTCCGCTTCAGGAGCATGTCTTCGCAGACGTCGTGCGCAAGGCCTCTTTCGAGTTTGCGGAGTCACTGACCGACGCCAGCACCGATATCGGTGCCCTGGTGAGGAAAACCAGTGAGGACTTCAAGTCATACATGCTGAGTCCAGCTGACCGTAGCTCGAGTGTTGATTACTTCCCTTTGGACGGCATCCCGGAGAAGGAGGTGCCCAAACATGGTTTGTGAGTCGAAAGCACGTGCAGACACGCTCAAGGCGGACGGATGGCATGCTTTCTGTGGGGCCTGCGCTAGAAGGCCAGCTTGGCCAGCTTAGCCGAAGCCGAGCTGCCTAATCCTGGTACAGTATCGGTCCAATCCTGGTACAGTATCGGTCTGCAGCCCAGAAAAACCGAGCCACACAAAGCCAATTTGTCGGTAAAAGCCTATTTTCAAGCTTTATGGAGATAGTTTCTGCTGTTGTCTGGTTCTTGTTGTCACTTAACCATCTTTCCTGTGCCGAGGCAGTGTCAACTGTGCTTAGTCTCAGCTTCCAAACGAGAACCATGGAGCAACCTTTGCCT